ATGATCTAATGGTGGCAATCGTATACGTGTTGAATCAGGTAATTTCGATATACATTGTATTAATACAGTATCTGTTGTTTCTTGAGTATTTTTTGCACGATCAGCAATATCTCCATGAAATTTTCTTAATGATAATTTAATAAAATCTCTTTTGCAACTGGCTGTATGATCACCATGTTGTTTTAATATTTTAACATGTGTTTTGGTAACAGATTCGTTACATGTATGTATACGAAAATGACAATTAAAAGTTTTATGATTTTCACAGCGCCAATAAGTTTTTATATCAGTTCGACGATCTTGAATATATGAGAAACCATCCAATATCATTAAAGGACGACCTTTTGTAGTAGTAATGAATTCGACAGAAGTAGACATATTCAACAAGAGTTGACAATGAAATGTTTCGTATCTGAATGGCCATCTCTTATATACAGGACACATTTTTTCTGAACATGAGCTCATTTTAATTAGATCAAATAATCAAACAGACTATGTCTATTCATTACAGTTATTGATTGATCAGATTATATAAATTCTTATTTGTAACTATGAATTTTTTAATCTCGTGCGCAAGTTGTACGTACGCATCTTGCAGTGCGCAAGTTTCGTAGTGCGCAAGTTTCCGTGCGCAAGTTTCGTCGTGCGCAAGTGTCGGGTTCCCCAAAATAGATACAATAAAACAATCGCCTTGTGATTAGCAATAGTAATTACATCGGGCTTCACATTTTAATCCTGTAGTGATTGGGCTATCAACTTTCGTTAGATAAGATGCATATGGATTAGGGATGTACCGAGACCAAGCCTCTCGGTCTCGGTCTTGATTAGTCTCAATCTTGGTATTGAGGAGTGCCGGTCTTGATTCTACTGAATCTCGATCCTTTCTTTGTCATAGGTAAGTGTGGTACTTTGTCTCGGTCGAAATTATAATTTCTCAGTTTTTAGGCTGAGGTTGACCGAGACCGAGACTGACCGAGACTGACCGAGAATCTCGGTCTCGGTACATCCATAGTATGGATTCATGTGCACTCAAACCAAATACCTATTAACAAAAGTACTGAATAAATTAGCATACACATCACACATAATTTTCTTCAATTATATCTATATTTGGATATCATCGAGAGTTCCTTCGAATCTTTTTTTCATAGCCAACAAATTTTAACTTTCAACAAATAAATATTTATTAGCTGACGAATAATTTTGTGTAACATATATTCCATGATCGATCTACAGTTTCGAATAGAGTAGCTTCTTGTGAATATGTGGAAGAGGGACTGAGAATAATAGTATTCATAAAGACGTCGATAAACATATGTCTCGTACCAATTTTTATAAAGTTACAAGAAGCTATGACCCGTATCGAGATCAACATAAAAATAAGTTGACTATTGAATCCATGTGTCTTTTATTAAACATGATCTAGTAGTTAGCGAATAATTATTTGGTTGCGCGGCATATGCCACCTAGCTTCACTATGCATTGACAAGTGTCCATTGCTCGTGTACATCAATCAACAACTGAAGAAACATTTCCTTCATCATAATCTTTCGTCTAAGTCGTATGGAAACTCTCAATAAATTCTGAAATATAATTTATAAATAATAGATATTGTAATGTTGTATTTCATATGGACACTCATTCACAGACACAACCGCATAAATATCGTTCATAACACAATAATCTTTTACTTTTTGGACTACACCGTTTATACGTCAATGCAAGAAATTAAACCAATTTTTTTCTATGATACTTTTCATTATTGTTTTTGGAGGAAACTCAAAGCGAGATTTGGAATGAAAATATCTCACACATAAATAGAACATATTTTTTCGATTTGTTTCATTACGTCAATTAGTTAAATGATTGATAGCAAGCGCGAATGTAGCCTTTACATGAGTCTGTTGATAAACACAAGTCCGATTGATATTTTCCAAGGAAATTAGCTTGCGTTTGGCTATTGTAATCGCTAATTCATAATGCTTATAATAATCACGTCTGAATTCATACTAATCGATTGACAAACTGCTATTAACGACATGAAGTAAATTCTTTTTTCTTGTATTTCTGTCATCATGGCTTTGAGTGATAACGATATTTTCTTAGAGAAGAATATTTGAAAAAAGTCTAAAAAAAAGATGCAGATAAACAATTTGAGCAAAAAATAGGTCACACGTTCTATCAGAGGTATTTATCGCTCATACTAAAGCACTTGTATAAAGTACTATCGTCTATGGCATATGAGTTGATTTCACGAAAGAAGTAGACGTTAATAACCATCGTAGAATTATCTCTTGCTTCTAGGGCGTCTACACTTCGTACGATTTTACTATTTTTCATTAAAATATAATGATAGACAATTTCTTCGGTAATATGGTTTTCTCTAGCGAAAAAATCTTCATGTAAAGTATTCAAGGTGCGTTATACAATAAAATTAATAATACTAAATCTGACTATTTGAATTATGATATAAAAATTTTTCGATGAAAAGAAGACATTTCGTGTACATGGTCACTAACATCTATTACCAAAAAAGTAATAAATCGATATCATTAGTTATTCTATAGAAAAATTTCTATATGGTAGATAATAGTATACGATATTGGCATTTTTGCATATAAAATATCATCGATAGAACGAATTTTAGAAGATTAGAAACATCTCACTAAATGATTCATTTCAAATCATATGAAAACACTATTTACATTATAATGCAATCTTGACATATGAAATTGACAATTTTATCGGAATTGATTACCTGAATGATAGAGCCCTATGGAGTCAAACTTTTTGATTCCGAAAACATTTTCTGACTACCATCAGATTTTTTTTAAAAATGCCAACCACTATTTTTTGAACAACTTTCGATCGTTTATAGCTATTGTAGTCAGGCTCTCGTCATTAGATAGAGCAATGTTGGAGACGTCTATCTGTGTAGCATTTATTAAGTTTGAAGAACTTTGCTAGGGATATTTTCAAGTGAACACTTTTTTCATTGTTCATTGCTACAACCTTTTGCAGCAACCTAGGTTCAAATTACACCAATATGCAGCTCAAAGATAGTCGTATTTCCTATAAAATTTCCAGATTTCAGAATGCTACTCTTGAAAGATGAGTCTAGAATGAAGATGGAAAAATCAAACAAGTATACAGGGAATACAACACTCTTCGAGCTACATTTTGGTGTAATTCGAGTCTAGATTACTACGAAAGGTTGTAGAAATGGACAACAAAGAAAATGTTCATTTGCAAATATCACTGAAAAATTTCTTCGAATTTGATGAATGTTACATAGATAGACATCTCCAGCATTGCTCCATCTAATGGTGAAAATCCGACTTCGATAGCTATAAACGATCAAAATTTATTCAAAAAATGATGATTGGCATTTTAAAAAATCCGACAATAGTATATATACTTCTTTTTTTGCTACTGGTTAATGAGAGTATATCTCTAATTTTTTTTTTCTCATGGAATTTATTGATAAATCTATAAACTATTGTAAAGATGGAACTCGTCTGAATTTTTCAAAACCGGTAACTGATACTGGTTCTATCTCTAAAGTAGTATAGTTTTGTTTATAACTTAACATATGACGAATAAACTTGTCATTATGTAAGAGTAAAAGTACTTGACTGTTGTAATGATGTAGCTCCGATATTGACTTCGGAAAAACTTCTTTTAATGATTTCCGATTCCGTCTAAGTCAGAGTCTGATGCATAGATCTACTGGATGAGCAAATTTAAATGAACAATAGATGAAATTTGTGACGGATGATATTCGATGAGAATATCTTATTCTTGAACTTTCCTAAAAAAAAAGTTGCGAAAAATTTTGTATCGTAATCATGAACTACAAAAAGTTATTCGAGCAGAACAACAAATAAGAAATTATTGAGACATGTTCTAGATCATTAATATAATTTTTTTTCCCTATGAAATCTGATACATAATATCTTATAGTCAACTCCAATCAGACAAGATATTTTCGATATACACTAATTGTCATCATGGATGAAACTTCTTTCTGGAAACGACTTCGAAAGAGATAAAACAGGACATTACTATCAATTATTCAAAAACTTGAAGATAGATAACATGAAAACGAAAAACAAATGTTCTTGGTATCTGGAATCTGAATTAATAAAAAAAGCTTTTTCATCAAATAACATAAGATGAGAATTATGAACAAACCTAAGAGCTAAAAGTTGGTAAAAGTGTAAAAAAAAACAAAATTATACTGATGACAT